ATATCAAAAACATTTCCATATCCGTCTAATGTCTAATGTCAAATATTTCATTCATATTCAGGACAAGAACAAATTAACAAAAAAAAATTTCAATGGTTAGTTTTTACAAAGTGGATTGACCGGGATAAAGTGTGAAATTTCATATTCCACAGAAGATGAGGGTATGTTCGACATGGACAGATATTTTTTTTTTTTTGCAACAGGTATCCTCAAAGAGTTGTTACAGGGGTTCTTTAATGTGAAGAGACAGTCTCCCTACTCGAAGAATCGGATAAACGTCCCGGTCGCAGGTGACTTCGAATGAATGCATCCATTATAGCCTCACATTAGCTTTGGTTTTACGCAATAAATAGTAAAGTATTGTCATTCAATTCAAACGCGTCAACTTTATTCATGATATCAATTGAAGATCTTATTTTACATCACTATATGTTGCTGTAAGTTTCATAAATAAGTTCAACGAACATTTAGAAAACTTTTTCTTCCAAAACAAGAGAAAAGCGTGGAACTATCGTAGAATGTAGGCAACGGACAATATAACTAGTATATAATTAAAGGCATTACATGTACGATATCTAAAATAAAAAGACCTTGAAATCATCCTCATGCCAATCATTTAGGCCATATTTCTTCAGTGATATAAATTATAAGTGTTCGTGGTGGACATACACACTATTGAGATGAACTAACAGTAATGTATGAACATTGGTCAAATCTGATGTTAGTGGAATATTGCACCGTTATTCTTTGATCTATTGATGCCAAGATAAATTGTCAGGTCATAGATTCCAAGTTGATAAAAGCAAAAAATGATCATGAGAAAAATCAAGAAATTAACATGTATTCTGGACAATTATGGGCTAATGTGGTCATCACTGGAACAGCTGGCGATTGGCTATAATATTCCTGACTTGCAGAGATTTGGTTAGGAAAGTTGGCTGTTCATGTAGAGTTCTTATTAAAAACGGGATATCTAATCCTAATTCTAACGGCAATGTTGTTTATAAAGCTCGGAAATTTAGATACGACACATATAAACTAATTGATCCTTTGAATAAACTTAATTTTAAAGGTTATCAATTTAACAAAGTAGTAAAATATTGCCCCAAGTCAGGAGCTTGTAGTTCAGTGGTTGTCGTTGGTTCATGTCTGTCATATTTGATTTTACGGCCCCGCCACAAAGTGGTCGGGGCCATATAGTTTAACCCTTATCCATTATTCTGTCATTCTGTCATTCCGTCATTCCGCAACGAACAGTTATACGGACCTTTTTTCTAAATGCCTTCACATATTGAGCTGATTTTTAGTATGTGAGACTACTATTATGTGTTACAGATCGAGTTTACGTTTGGTTCCGCATCATTGATTTTTGCACAAATTACGGGATTTCGACTTTGAAAATTTTATAAAAATGACAGTTATACGGACTTTTATTCTAAATGCCTCCACATGTTGAGCTGAATTTTAGTATGCAAGTCTATTATGATGAGTTACAGGTCCAGTTTACGTCTTGTTCCGCTCCGCTGATTTGTGCCGAAATTACGGGCTTTGAAAATTTCGTGAAAATAACAGTAATAGGGACTTTCATTCTCAAAATTCCACTCCTAAAAATGGCTTCAAGATATTTTTGCGAGCGGGGCCATTCGTGTCGTTCCGACACATCTAGTTCATAAGTCGTTTTGTTATGAATTAGACCGTTAGTTTTTCTCAATTAAATTATTTCATGTCGGGCCCTTTTATAGCCAACTATACGGTATGGGTTTTTTTTATTATCATTGTTGAAGGTCGTACGGTTGCCTTTAAGTGCTTACATTCAATTTTTGGTGGATAGTTGTCTCATTGGCAATCATACCACATCTCTTTATTTTTATATTGCTACAGACTAACAAGTATTTTGCAAATGAAAGTTGTGATTGAAACAGATTTAATTGAGCATTAAACCTTTTTTCCACTACTGTATAGCTAATGTCTGTAATTTGTGAAAGAACAGGAGATGCTTGTTGTGAATCTTCGTTGGTCTTTCTGGTAAATATGAAAAATATTTTAAGGACAGTGATTGACCCTAATTGATTATTTCAGGAGACCAGGTAGGAAGCGTCTGTTAAGAAACACTTTTTACGAAATAATTGTGGTATCAAACAACGAATGTTTCAACTATCAACACCTTTTTAGAACTTTATCAGTCCGATATGCTGTTGAATTTCAAATCTTTTCAAAGGGAGATAATCAGAATTTAAAATATGGTACCGGATCGATCACTTTAACAACTAGAATTCTAATATTGCAACAAAATACAGTTAGGTAGATTATTAATTGGCCAAACAATCACAAAACAATTATGGTAATGAAACTCACGTATATAATAAATTATGATTTTTAAAAAAAATATTGTGTATGTTTGTGTGTATGTTTTTGATTCACGTAATGGGATTTTCATTTTTTTAATTTCTCGTTCCAGAGTAGCAAAAAACATTAAACGCTCATTTTGATAAATAATGACTCCAGTGATGCTAGAGACAATACTGTAAGTTAATCCTATACCTTATGTAATCGCTTAAGCGTTGATATCACTGAAAAATACCAAAAAAGAATAGCCAATGGCGATCAAAGAATCAGAACAATAGAACTGTAACGTCGAAAGAAGCGGCTTTACTGACAAATAGAGTGGTTATAAAATGCTAGGGAACATAATAAAGCATTATGGTTATCTATCTTTTAACAAAAAAAAAACATGTTTATAGTAGTTACGTCATGTTGATTGGCTTCATATGTAAAATATAAAAAAAAATATATAGATACTCTAAACTGAATGCGTAAAGTAGACATTATTATTAGTGGCTTACATCTACGACATTTGGTCTCTGGTGGATAGTTTTGTCATTGGCAATCATACCACGTCTTATTTTTATATCATAAATAATTAACTGTTTGGTTTATCCTACATGAGTTTACTCCGTGATACGTATATATTAACCTTGTTTTGGTTTTGGGAGGATCTAGTGATACTGTTATGTTCATAAGCTTCAATTGAATTTGTTTTTATGTATAAGTTTTACTCATTATTTCGCTACCCTTGAAACCTTTGTTTAGTGCTTTTTACATGTGCTTTTGTCGCTATTATGTTTTGCTAAATCCTAAAAATCATATGTGAACATTTTTTACAAATTGAAAAGCCTCTCCGAAATTTGCGTTTTGTTTTATGTGTAAATGTAACAACAATATGTATAAGCAGCTTCTTTAAAAACAACATAAATGTGTGTAGCGCAAGTCAGGAATCTTGTTATTGGTTGCCTGTATATTTTAGCATTGTATGTTCTTTAAGGAAGTTGGTGTTGATCGTCAATTGTTTGTAGTCTGTGTATTTACTTGTTTTCTAGACTCGTGACGATTTAGAACTTTATATATGGTTTCACAGGTGTCTAGATCTGTTAATGAAGACCATATGTTGCGTTCCTACGGTCCTTTCTGGTTTTATTGCGTTTTAGTGTTACTATCTTATCGTCGTATTCTCTGCATCTCTTTTTTCTTAGTTATTATTTTACTGCTTTAGTGTGCAACTTTTGGTAGTGATTGTTAAAATTATAGGCCTGTGAAAGATAAGACTTTGTCTTTTGTAGATTTTTAAATTCTTTTGTTGCGGTTATGTATATACCCACCGTATCCGATTAAACAGAGGGCATCAAGTACTCATAGACAAATGTATGTTATCCATATAATTTATGTCTGTTTCAATCCACAATCATGTGTGTTATAAAGAACAAGAAAGTTTTTTTTTTTCTTTTATTTGAAATGATTACAATTATTCTGAGAATTTTGAAATAACATGCTGTATTGTTCTCATTCGGTCAATAGAGATACTTGCTTTAATTACTTTTTAATAACATTCCTAATGACTTATAAATACATTTACCAAAACAAAAGATATCTCTGAGACAAAAAACAAAACAAAAAATATACAAGAAAGCTTTTAACTAATTCAACTAAGTCAATAGACTATCAACAAAGAAATTTGACAAGACGGCGATCACATTTGAGGATGTTCTTTATGAACGTACGATACGTCATACGTTGTTAAAAACCAGTCTGGATTAAACAAAAACATCTCAGAAACTGTGACATCAGCAATATGCTTGCTTTTTTTATTGACAGAATGTTTGTTACGTTTGAAGGATGTTCCTTTCAACACAAAATCAACATTTCTACAGGTACCAACTGTGCTTCTCGTCTTGCCTACTTGTTCCTTTATTCCTATGAGGCAGACTTCATACAAGAGCTTCACGAGAAGATATCATTACCTTTTAACTTCAAGTTCTGCTACATAGAAATGTCCTCTTACTTTATAATTCAATTAACAATATGGAACGAGAAATCGTCTTTTTGTCGTAAATACTTGTTTTGAGCGATCGCATGAAACTGAAATATCCAAATCTGCAGCATGCCTGGTTTATGGGGACAAAAGAATAATGTTTGCTAAAACCACATTGTTTACACAAAAAATACTCTAAACAGTGTTTGTAATAGAAATGAATAAATCCCTGATTCTTCAATATTTAGTATTGGTGACTATATAAAGGTTGGAGATATGGTATGATTGCCACAGATGACAACGGATATGTTCGAATTGTCATAAACCTATCCCGTCCTCATTTCTTCGAATGTGACATCACCGAATTATATCATGAGCAATCCGCTGAGTGCCACTGGTGGAACAGGATTTGCGTATCCAAATGGAGCACCTGAAATCAATCTCCGTTTTAAGTTGGTTTCGTGTTGCTCAGTCTTTAGTTTTCTATGTTGTGTTTTGTGATCTTGTTTGTCTTTACGTCGTCTTTCTGTTTTGTCATGGCGTTGTCAGTTTTTCTCGACTTATGAGTTTTGGTATCTTTTGCCTATTTCTTACGATTGTATGTTAAATAGTGTCAAGGTTGTTCAATTCAAGGTCGATATTGGAGGAAAGTTTTTTCTATCTTATTGTTGAAATTAATTAAACTAACAGCAGGTTTTGAAATAAATGTATAATTAACGATTATTTAGATTGTACAGTGTGCATGTAATGAAATGATATATAGATATATAACGAAGTATGTTCATGTTTGAAACGCATTAACGTCTACATTTCCGCATGCATTCACGTTTACTGTGAAAGTTGTTCTTGTTTCCTCCACATCCGGTGTAATGGAACTTTCGGCACATCTTGCTTGCTTTTTCATAGTAATATCTCACAGTATGGGCGGTACAGTCTGTATTTCCGTATGCAATTGGTTGGTCACATTCTAAAATCAAAATGTTAATAACTCTAACTAATTAGCTATATAGTGACAACATGATTAAGTACGTACAACATGATGATGGTTCATCTGATATCACTTTATTGGTCTGGGTTGCGTTCAATATCGTAGCGGCTACATAGGGCTACGTAGATTTATGACTATTGAACGTGTAGCTAGCCTAGCTGCTACATAGATATTGATAGCAGCTAGGCTAGCTACTCGTTCAGTAGACAAAAATCTACGTAGCACTACGTAGCCGCTACGATATTGAACGCAACCCTGGTCTCTATGGTGTGCAGAATAAAGTCAACTGACCTCAAATCATTACAGCCGATTTCAACGAGTGTGTAGGCAAAGGTAATATCTTTATTTAGCTTGCTTGCTAGCTGAACCGTGAAGTCATTGTTAGGTTAGGTAAACCACCCTCTTTTAAGAGTAGACTAGTCCGCCAGATAACCAATCTATCTGTCTGTAGGACTAGGCTACTTCGAAAGGAGGGTAGTATACCTTAGCTAACAATGACTTCACGGTTCAGCTAGCAAGCAAGCTAACCAAAGATATTACCTTTAGCTACACACTGAAATCGGCTGTAAAACGAATATCCATGAACAATGTAGTTAGCATCTTGAATATCATATCAATAAACAGGTTAGCGATTGTTGAACAGAGGTTATATAAGTTAAAACACATATGTTTAAAATAGCAGGTCTTAGATATGTTACAATGAATAAAAAAGGCAAAGTTTGAGCCTAGAAGATTAACGAAACGATTTTATAATAGATCTAATTCTTTGATTCTTCCCTGCCGGAGCTGGAAACTGTAATTGGTCCTCTTACTATACGCCGCGACGGTAACACAAGCGCAGGTATGGGGGATACTTTAAATAGATATTCGTGAATACAGCCGTGTTATTCTTTATATTTTCTTAATTTCTGTTTAAATTACTTTTCCGGTATATAAAATATTCTCATGATTCAAACAACCAACAGTAATGTTTATCAAAGACCATTGATATATTATACCATGGAGATTGATGTTCCCGCCAGTCTATAATATTTATAAAACTGGATCTATACAAAGGGAGACAACACTTATAAAATTAGATGTCGGAAAAAACCTTAAATTTGTTAACTGGTTGATTACACGGAATATAAAAGTCTAATCTTACTGAAAAGCTTCGGAGTGTTCCATAAACTACGTCAACATGAATCAATAATTGTTGATCAGGTTTAGAATACCCATATAGTTAGTGTAATTTTTGTCATTATCTTCCGTATTTAATTTCTTCTCCCGTTCGGAACATGTACCAATTATATATCTCATTGTAGCCAATAGAACCGTAGCCACATCATAATGCAACCAATCAGAACCAATATTTGTTTAGTAATAATTTCAAGATAGCGTGAATATCGAATAAAACTAATAGCTTCGCATCGTGATGATGAGAAGAAAGGATCTGGATGGGTATAATTTGCAGACATAAAAACTCATCAAAGATACCAGGCTTATAATTTTGTACGCCAGACGCACGTTTCGTCTACATAAGATTCATCAGGGACGCTCGAACGACTACAAGTGGTTCTATCACCAAAGTACGTCGTATGATTGTTTGTGACGTCAAGGATTACAGACGTTTCTAAAATTGGGAGAATTTGATTTTAAGTGTAAAAAAAATAAAGTATGCGTATAATTATGTAAAATAACACAGAAAGGGTTTATGTTTGTATGAGTAGATGTGGTGACGCCAAACCAATCTGAAAAATCTAAACTATTTCCCTTTTAGTTTGAGTGACGCGTTTTCCTGTTAACCCATGACATTCGTATCCTTAAAGATATTATACATTCTGTAGATATATGCCTATGTGCAGTGACTACTGTAAATTATAACTAATCCTTTAGATTTCCCATTATTTGAAAGTACCAGGCATATAATTAGATACCCTCTTACATCTAGTTTTGGGAGACTCAGTTTTACGATTTCCTGTTAATGAACAGAGATCACTTTGATACTGAGGTGATACTTTAACCTTGAACATCAAGAAAATCATCAGCGAAATATGCTGTGTTCATTTACCCCTTAACTTCACAGACATCATCATCTGAATGTGCATACTTTGCCTTTTTATTCATTGTTACAATAAAAGGTAAAGTTGTGCATTTTGGTGATGTTTTAAACTTTTTCGACGTATATATATAGATTCTACCACTGCATCGAGTGTGATACGATATTTATCCACTCGAGACAGTTAAATTTTCAAATTTAAAACGCGAGGCTCGCCGAGCGTTTTAAATATTTAAAATTTAACTGTCGAGAGTGGATAAATATCGTATTACACGAGATTTGGTGGTGGAATCTGTTTCTCTAATGATTTTCAAACAATACGCAGGCAAATTTATTCCTTCTTTTCGAATGATCTGCAAAAAGATGTGTTCTTTCTATGTGACGTCATCAGGCATGGTCGCCTTTTTTCATGCCGTCACAATAGGAAATTCAGAGGAAAGCAAGAAAATTCGACGTCGTAATCGGATTTTAACCAATGAAGAACTGAGATCAAACGAACCACACGTTGATTAAATTTTTTTTATACAATGGGTGCAGAAAGGGATAAATTGACGAAGAATTAGAGAAAAATATATATACCATCTGTATTAAGTGAGATTGATTTTCAGATTTCCCACATCAAAACAAGGACTTTTGTACATGTATGTAAGGAAACGCATATAATAATCCCCTACAGATTACATAGGAATGGAACGAAACTTTACATTTTGTGTAATTGTTAATTCGTCTAGGACTTTTTAGACTTTATGATGCCTTTCATTAATACAGGTTGTAACATAATACAGCTGTGTACATGAATTATAGTTGCTCGTAGATGGTATATCAGTACGATTCATCTTTTTTTCAATATATAGTAAAGGATCTTAAATATGTGGAAAACAAATGATACATTGAATTTTAACTTACGAAGTATAACATATATATGGGAATCCCCTTTTAACTTACTATAAGATGATGATGATGATGCCCATGAACCTGAAGAACTTCCGGCCTTTTTGCCATGCCTGCTATCCCACCAGGACATGCCTGCTCGCCATGGCGGCTCTTCTCTCCAGGATGTTGATTTCTTACCTCCTTTTTTAGATTTTCTTTCTCTCTTTTTTGATTTGCCTCCATGGCCTCCATTTAACCTTTCCTTTAGTTCTTGTAGTTCTTGTAAGTAATACTGTACTTCATTTTGCGATAACGGATTATATCTTTTCACAGAAAAAATAGATCTTTTTTGTCTGTCAGCACCCGTGAGCAGGAGAATGCTACACATACATAGGCCCAGTGAAATAATGTTTTTGTTCATGTTAATTGTCTGAAACATATATAAATGAATATATAGAAACTGTAGTTAAAAGTTTTTTTTTTTTTTTAATTTAACATCACAAATTTAAAATCGAATTTGATTCTATAAAAGAAATCCTTGATACAGCCTTAAAGGTTTGACATTAAAGCGTTTGCAAGTTGATGGTTGGGAGAAGTTCTAAAGGCAATTAAAAAAGTATAAGTCACGGACTAAAAAAAAATGAAAAGAACAAAAGCAGTAAAAAACACTACACACAAAACAAGTTTGAGCAACTCGAACCTCACCAAAAACCAGGGATGGTCTCAAGTGCTCCGGAAGAGTCATCAGTTTTTGTTACACTTGTGACATCATGTTCAAATATGTTGATAGGTCATTTCAAGTGTTTTAGCGATTTGTGAATATCGTTTATGTAAAAAAAAATCCGATGAAAGAATTTTGATGACCTTTATTTTAGCACCGCAGTCATTCTGGTATCCAGAATTATTTAAACATAGTACTTAAAGCGGGATTGTTTTGCATAAATACAGCGTTTACTGTGTGCAATTATATTCACTTTAAAAACATATGTGTAGCCAGAATTGTTGTGTAAAAATAATTTGAAACTAAAAAGTAAAATCAAATAGATGGCAGCACTTTCAGAAAAAGATGTATCGCAAAGCTTATAACAAGTACTAAATTTTATTCACTGTTAAAAAAATAGATTGAAAATATACGGTTATTAGAAAAAAATTGTTGCAAATTAAATTCTCTAATTATACCTCCACTCAAACAGTTGGATATTATTTGTGTTCATTCTGCAAACTGGATCAACATAGGTAAAGGGCAGAAAATTTAGACTTATACACTGTACAAAAAGGGTATGTTATAGGTTAAGCAGACATTTTCCCTTGCAATAGGTCAGTACGGACACATCAAAGAGTTCATAGAGGGGCTTCGGAAGTTCCTCGTTGATTCCGACAAGATGGGCTGGGTTTTACACATCTCGCACAACTAAACAGACGTTTTTCGGTATGGGCCTTTCTGTCGGACGGGAGAAGTTCAAGTGAGTATATTTCTTTGACTAATTCAACCTTTGTGGCAAATTTAAGTATGTGAATAAAGAACAGACTCATGATTTACATAAAGTTCTTGTACATTGTATTTGATAAATAGCTTGCACATGTTGATAAAAACATGTTATTTATGAGAAAAAATTGGAGAGGCTTGACACGTAGGTATTTACTTTTTCAAACCTCTACTGGTTCGCAATAAGTCTTACTTGTCTATGAGAATCAAAGGAAAAACAAGATTTGGAACATGAATATGAGTAAAACACTTAGTAGCCATTGTTTAAAATAATCGATTTGAAATCTATTTTTTCCAATATCTTGAGTATAAGCATACAGACTGTCCTAGCCTACGGAATTAATATATGATATTTATGTTGATACAAAAAGCTAGAGCGCGTTCCTATTTGGTGATTTTACATACTGATGTATATTTTTTATTAGGGTATAATTACTCAAGCAAAATTCTGGTGAAGATACGACTGAAACGTTAACCATAATCACAAATCAAACGTACGCCCACATAAATTGATTGATTGTTACAGTATTTCAGTTTGCACTTAAAGGCATTTTAAATCTGTCTTAAGATTGATAACACGTGTCTTTTTTCATCCACCTGACATTCTGACCAGTTTTGTCGTTTCTGGATTTGACAATTGCTTCTATCTATGTTTTTTTATCAAATCGTATGAACCCAAAAATTGACTAGGATGTAGAAATATGGGTACTTGGGTCCTCACTCCTAAAAGTTTACTCAGTACTCGGAGTACAAAAGGAGTAAGTTCAATAAGGGCCATATTTGGCCCCGATTAGTAAGTTCAATGTTTCAAGATAAAAAATGTTTTAAGTTGATGAAAAGACATGTGAGACTTTAAATAGAACTATTTTCGTCAAAGTTTTATTTTAAAGCATTGTTTTTTTATATACCAGATGGGTCAAAAATACAGAATTTTGCAAAATTTGACAAAATCGTGTGGATTTCATCCAAATTACGGCCTATGAAACATATAGCGCAGGAGTCGACAAGCTAAATATTCAAGTCAGATATGTAAAATGTCATAACAAACATTATGCAAAAAGATATTTTTTGTCGACGCGTTTGCTCTTTGTTTCCTGTCTAAAAAATCAATGGAAATTTACCCATTTACATTGAATTTTCGTGGAAAATCAAAATGAGTGCTTTTTGCGACTACATGAATGGAACGCAAAGTACGTAAATTTTCAACAAAACGGCATTAGCTTTGATTCAATGTGATATTGGTCAATAAATCTTAATTTGAAATTTTTAGCTAGAAATAGGGGTCATTTTAGGACCTTATCGAACCTACTCTTTGTGCTTTAACACCTAATCCAGCATTTTGATGGGTTGAATTCAAAGTCTGAGACCTGAGTTTGAGTCTGAGTTTAAAACCGCAAGGCCTGAACTTCTTCCATACAGCAGTAAAATTCATGCGAAAGAGGGGTGTCCATTTGGCTGTCAAATACGACGAGGATTGTATATGTTTTATGCTATGATAATGACCTCTGATACATATTTTTATGCACTTTTGGGAAAAAAACTACGTAGACTAAACCCGGGGACGAACCAAACGAAATTATCCGTTATTTTAAGACTGACTAAACGAAGTCGTCCCTTATTGTAGAACGAGCAAGACAATCTCGTTCCTTATTTTTCAAATAAATCGATTACGTAGATACAACGTATAAATGGTGCACAGTAACATATGGAACGCCATGACTGTCTTCTGATGTTGATTGTTAAATATGTTCGGTGCTTTATGCATTACGTTCAGTAGTATTTATATTTTGTTCAGTAGTTTTCATATTATGTTCAGTAGTTTTGACATTATGTTCAGTAGTTTTGACATTATGTTCGGTGCTTTGGTTATTATGTTCAGTAGTTTCATTATTATATGCAGTGGTATTTAAATTATGTTCGGTACTTCTGACGTTATATTCAGTGCATTTTTCATTATGTTCAGTACCATCGACATTATGTTCAGTAGATTCAATATTATTTGCAGTACATTATGTATTACCTTCAGTGGTCCCGGTTTCTTTATATTCGGTAGATTATTCATTATGTTCAGTAAAAGCATCAGTATTATACTCGGTTCAATGAACTATATGTTCAGTAGTTGTATCATTATGATGATGCAGTGAAAGTCGGAAAATCAATAACGGAAATTTTCAGAAATAAACGAACGCGGATATTTTCGACGGACGTTTTCTTCATGGACACTTTAACGGGATCAGGAATGAAAATGGAAGAAATGGGAGCAGTATTAAATTGGTTTGGTTTACGTTGACACGTTGGCAATTTTCACAAGGAAAAAAAATACTCCTGACTTAATTTGTAAGATGTCATGATTGATTGGTTGTTTGTTGTTTTCTGAACGTACAGTGGCAAATATTTCACGCATGTTTATGACGGAGAGAAGATTTTTTTAAAACAAGAAATAAGAAGTTGCATGCGTTGTCGTTGATACACCATGACCATAGAGAGACGACAAAAAGACAAACAGCAAAAAAATTAAAATATAAAAACATATTCTATAGCTTTTGTATTCCTAGTTGGTAATCATTTTTGTTGGTTGGTTGTAGCATATTTATCTCATGCACCGACTTTTAAGAGACCACGAAAAATCTCCAGATTCTCCTATAGTATTCTGCATCCTATCCCGCTAATATGCGCTTAAATATCAGATATTAATTTGAAATAACCCAAGATAAATGAGGTTGTGGATGAGGTTTACAGAACAGAGAAAGTTGATTCATAAATATGACCATATCAATGATAATTCATGGTTACACGGATTAGCCTCGAACCTGTATCTGGATATTGTCAATCTATTCCTCTTCATTCTGGCTATCATTGGTGGATCTAGAGACTTAATCCAGAAATATGTTTTTAAACGCTCTGTTCAAGAACAGATATTAAGTTATTGGTTTGGGTAGTTTCTAGTCTCTTATTAAACAAAAGGGGTCATGTTTTGTGCATTGCTTTAAAATAATAAGAACCATAACTGTACAGAAATGGTGAAAATTTGCACATAATTAAAGTTTTGCACTTTGTATTTTTGATATTCATTACCTGTCTAATAGACAGTCTATGGTAATCATATTTACACTTAGACCTAGTTAGTTTTTGTTTATACAGCTTGAATTTGGAAGATTAAAAATCTTAATACATGATTTCAAAATGACAATCATACTGATACTCAATGTTCATTGTGTGTAGCACTTTGTACAATATTTCATTCTATACCCTTGCATACCAGCATAAATTTCAATGTAGCTCTTTGAATGTATGAAATTTATGACTAGTTGTTTTCTGGTTTTTCTGCTATTGCAGAGCTTTTTGCTGTCATTTTTGTCTGAACTCTATCACGAACTGTTTTATCATTGTTGTAATAATTTCTGACACAATGCAGGAGAAGAATGTAAGATTATCTTTGTCTGCAATAGTGGACGAAATAGTACGCCAAGATTTGTTAACTCGTGCAAGATCGTGATTTTCAAGGAAAATATCGATTGTACATAATTTGCATGGTAACATCAATTAACCAGTTCTGATTACGACCAGTTCAACATTTCATTCCATATCAATAATAAATTCGGTATTCAGAAAAAGTTTAGTTATACTGTTAATCATTTAATTCTGTAATCACTTATTTTTTTTACCTTTTTCCAAAGTTTTAAACATTTTTTTTTTAAAGCATCCCTTTATTCTCTATTCTTTATTTTTTGCCACCTTCTCTTTTTTGGGGGTAGGGGCATTATTCTCTATTCTGTAAACCTCATCCACAACCTCATATATCTTGGGTTATTTCAAATAAATATCTGATATGTAAGCGCATATTAGCGGGGTAGGATGCAGAATACTATAGTATCTGCAAGGAGAATTTTCGTGGTCTCTTGAAAGTCGGTGCATGAGATAAATATGCTACAACCAACCAACAAAAATGATTACCTACTAGGAATACAAAAGCTATAGAATATGTTTTTATATTTTATTTTTTTTGCTGTTTGTCTTTTTGTCGTCTCTCTATGGTCATGGTGTATCAACGACAACCATGCAACTTCTTATTTTGTGTTTAAAAATTCTTCTCACTGTCATAAATATGCGTGAAATATTTGCCACTGTACGTTCAGAAAACAACAAACAATCAATCAATCATGACATCTTACAAATTAAGTCAGGAGTAATTTTTTTCTTGTGAAAATTGCCAACGTAGGAACGTAAACCAAACCAATTTAATACTGCTTCCATTTCTTCCATTTTCATTCCATCCCGTAAAAGTGTCCATGAAGAAAACGTCCGTCGAAAATGTCCGCGTTCGTTTTTTTCCGACAATTTCCGTTATTGATTTCCCAATTTTTACTGCATCATCATAATGATACAACTACTGAACATATAGTTCATTGAACCGAGTATAATACTGATGCTTTCACTGAACATAATGAATAATCCACCGAATATAAAGAAACCGGGACCACTGAAGGTAATACATAATGTACTGCAAATAATATTGAATTTACTGAACATAATGTCGAAAGTACTGAACATAATGAAAAATGCACTGAATATAACGTCAGAAGTACCGAACATAATTTAAATAACACTGCATATAATAATGAAACTACTGAACATAATAACCAAAGCACCGAACATGAATGTCAAATCTGCTGAACATAATGTCAAAACTACTGAACATAATATAAATACTACTGAACATAATGAATAAAGTACCGAACATATTAAACAATCAACATCAGAAGACAGTCATGGCGTTCCATAGTAACATACCCCTTTTAAAGGTGACGCTATCTTTGTCCGAATTGACAGTTTCAAAAATGCTTAATTTTGCAAGTCGTAGCTTATATTTTACAATAAAAATATACAGTAATCCTGATTATCGGTATTTCAAGCGTTCACAAATCAACTTTATTTTTTCAATTCATCACCAAGCACATAACGTGATATTATAAAAAAAACATTATCTTTAAGACTGTTATGCACACAGTTCATTGTTGAAATTATTTTATTATGCCCTCATGTTGACTTTTAAAAGATGAAACAATGAATGATATATTAAGGGTTCTGCACTGTTTTAGACTTTCATATTAGAGAGAGATATGGCGTAGTCTATTTGGCATTATCCTTTATTTTTTCTTGAAAATAACTATACAAAGTAAGGTGTATTACGATGTCTTTCTTGTTGTTACAGATTTCAATTTGAAATATATTTTCAGTAATGGAATATATATTTGTGATATGGAATATCTGTCACAGATGACGCTCTGTCGTAGCAAGAGTCACGACCCCTTTTCCTCGATTATGACATCACCGAATAAACCTATCACTATGTACTTATCATGAGCAACATGACGGATGCAATCATTGGAACAGGAGTGCAAGTTTCTGTATTTTAGCTGTTTAATGTCTATTTTTCTCCTCCAGAAAGTCTTCTATATTTTTCGTCCAGAAAAACTGTTTTTCAATTTCAAACTTTAGTATTCGGTCATGTATTAGGATTACATAATTCACATGTACCGATGGTTTATATGTTAGTGTACGACGTTTATGTTTCATCAAGTAAAACAACTGGTTTCACCAGATGAAAAAAGAGGGACGAACCTTCCAGAATTCCCTGGTTTGTGTTGCTCAATCTTTGTTTATCTGTGAACTGCTTGTCTTTTCACCTCTTCTTTTAGACATGGTGATGTTACCTTTTTCATTTTTTCATTACAACTTCTTGTCAATTTTGTAAATTTTATACACGATTCGGTTACATTGTGTGATTAAGATGTCTAAATATTCTAAACAAATGTAACGATTTACAAGTTTTAAACTTAAATTTTTCATGAAATATAATAAATAAAAAACCCTGTTAAATTACCAAATAAAAATCAATCATTTGCAAAAAAGGTGCATGTTATATAAAAAAAAATCTGACGAAGTTGGAAAGTGAGAAAATACCGTGCTTTTGAACACAGGAGTCAAATTTATTTTGCGGAAAGTCACGGATGACAAAAATCGGCATTTAATTTCAAAGACGAGAATTTCGGATTTAAATATCTATAAAGGCATTCAAACTTTGAATCAGACCATGTTAATGCTTTAAGTTTTATGTTCATATATCGATTTTTTTTTATTTTGGGTAAAAAATATGGGTTTTGAATTCGGTAAAATTAAAATAAAAAAAAAAAAACACATTTTTGCATTAAATCAACGGTCTTGATAAGAAAACAAAACTGTAAATGTCAGACCAATTAGGCAATTTTTTAAGCTTAGTACCGTGTACCCAATTTCATTATGTATGGAAAATGCATTGCCTGATATCTTTTTTGTTGCTTTTGACGAGTATATACATTTGTTTGCACCTGTCCTAAGTCAGGAACCTGATGTTCAGTGGTTGTCGTTTGTTGATGTGGTTCATAAGTGTTTCTCGTTGCTCGTTTTTTATATAGATTAGACCGTAGGTTTTCCTTTTTGAATGGTTTTACACTAGCAATTTTTGGGGCCCTTTATAGCTTGCTGTTCGGTGTGAGCCAAGGCTCCGAGTTGAAGGCCGTACTTTGACGTATAATGGTTTACTTTTACAAATTGTGACTTAGATAGAGAGTTGTCTCATTGGCACTCATACCACATCTTCTTATATCTATATACCGCTTTATAACTAACCGATTTACGTTTGAAAGTTAAACTAAGTAATAAAAAGTTGTAGCAACTGAATACAAAGCTAAACATACATTTAGTCAAATTATTCTTATTCACAACAAGAGCTACCTATATACAAGTTGTATCCGATGGCTTTTTCATATTTGAAAAATATGGATATATTAAGGTTTCAGTATTAAAAAGAGATGGAAATAAGAGTCCACTTACTATCTAGTGTAGTTCCAGAACAGTCCTTTAGTAAATTCGCCAATAAAATAGCAATCACGAAAGTGTCATCACATTTGCATATTCAAATCACGTAGTTAAATGTAATTATGCAAAAATAATATGACCTGACATGTGAAATGTCATAAAGGTGACATGTAATTAATTTCGTGTGGTTTAGTTTTGTTTTGTTTTGAAAAATCTGGATAGTTCTAGCGACAGGGGCATTGCCTACTTTTCTATATTTATATCTTTTTTAACTTTCGACTAGTACAGCACTTACTTTTCTTCAATTTTTGTCTATTTTTTGATACAATATACATGTACTTCTAAGTACAGTTATTTAATACCCGTAAATTTAATACCCGTAAAAAGGCCATCTTATCCTAGTTGCAAGTCTGTATATTGTATGAAGTCTCTCACAAAACTTACACATAAGAAGTAAATATGAAAAACAATTACGTTACAGAAATCTGAATCTTGATAACAATAAAAATAGGGTAAACAAAACGCAATATATAAATGAAAACTAGCACTGCATATTTATTTATTGTGATTAAATTACGAAATTTCTGTGTCGAACACTTTCTTCTAGAACAGGTTTCTCTAGATGATTTGAGATCTGAAAGCAATAAAAAAACCTATCATTTACGTTTTAAGTAATCCATTGTTCATATAAAAATTATAGGTGCAATACTTATCTTGTTCTACATACATTATAGTTACGAGACTTTCTTAATTGTCATATCTCTAATTTTGGTTCGCTTTTAAATATAAATAAGTTGAGTTAGTTCTAAGATATCCAAGAACAAGATGACTATATAAAAAAAAGAAGATATTGTATGATTGCCAATGAGACAACTCTCCGCAAGAGACCGAATTACATAGAAGTTAACAACTATAGGTCACCGTACGGCCTTCAACAATGACAAAAACCCATACCGCATAGTCAGCTATAAGTCCTCGAAATGACAAATGTAAAACAATTCAAACGAGGAAACTAACGGCCTGATTTATGTACAAAATAATGAACGAAAAACAAATATGATATGTAGCAACAAACAACAACCACCGAAATACAGGCTCTGACTTGGGACAGGCATATACATACAGAATGTGGCGGGGTTAAACTAGTTTGAAGGCGCCAACCCTCCCCTTAAACTTGGACAGTGGTGTAACAGTACAACATAAGAACAAACTATAAAAATCAGTTGAAAAGGGCTTTTAACTCATCAGATCGCTACAAAGCAGAAAGAACAAACTACATGTATAAAAATCAGTTGAAAAAGGCTTAACTGATCAGATCGCTACAAAGCAATAAGACATCTAACAAAAACACAGACCGGACGTGGCAGGTTATCTATACAGCCCCACAACAAAAAAAGACACCAAGTACAGACCTGAGAGTACTCGCAGTTACTGGCAGCTAGTTCCAAGCCAATAACAACTAATAAAAAAATCATGCATACACGACTAAAATATCAATCAGTACACATCCAACATCCATTGGATTTAGGGTAAAGACGTCAATAACATTCAGAGAAAAATGACCTTGTGCAATGCCAAGATACAGGTATTGACAGATTGTAGAGCCATTAATGTGCATATGTATATAAAAATAATATTTTAGTTTGAGACAAGTTAATTAAATGTAAATTAAATTCTTAATCAACTTTAATCGTAAACAAATGATTGTCACATATACAGACTTCGGTTGATTGATTGATAGCTGTTTGCTCAACATTCAGTAGTAAATATTTCATGCATAATTCATGACGAGAACAAATAAGCAAGAATTCCAATAGGTAGGGTCTATAAAGTGTGTTTACCAGGATAAACGGCGGTAATTTGGAATGCCACTGGAAATGAGGGTATGTTGGATAGGGACAGAAATTTTCCCTTGCGACAGGCCACCTAGGTACCTCTTAAAAGAGTTGTTGCAAAAGTTCTCTTACGTACAGATATTGTGGAACTCTCCCTTCATGAGGCATTAGATAAAACTTTTCCAGGTCTTTGGTAAGATTCTACGTTTGGATGGGAGAAAGAAGTTCAGTGATGACTTTATGTCTATACCCGGTTTAACCCTTGGGGTTCTTTTAAATGACAAAAGGTACGTGAAAACGTACAATGTAACACATTGCTCTATGATACACTTTACATCAATTATAATATAAAGATTTATAAACACTATCGCATCAAAGAATAAACACTATCGTATCAAAGAATGAACACTATCGTATCAAAGAATGAACACTATCGTATCAAAGAATAAACACTATCGTATCAAAGAATAAACACTATCGTATCAAAGAATAAACACTAACGAATCAAAGAATAAAAACTATCGTATCAAAGAATGAACACTATCGTATCAAAGAATAAACACTATCGTATCAAAGAATAAACACTATCATTTCAAAGAATAAACACTATCATTTCAAAGAATAAACACTATCGTATCAAAGAATATTTGCAGTTAGTAAACAAGCTCAAAGTATTTTCCCTGTTGATACAAAATAATGCTATTCTACATACTAATATCGGCGGCATTTTACATTGGAATAGATTGAGAGGTGGAATAATGTTTCACGAGAAAATCGATATTGTAAACTTTGTAATTTAGGAGATATTGATAATGAATTCCACTTTACTTTGACCTTACTAGATTGAAATTTCATGATGTAATGAATACTAGAAATAGAAAAACTTGTGTTAATTTATCAGATTGATTAACATAGGGCTGGACTCTCAGGGGTAACATTGTTACGCATTTATAAATCATCCCTTCGAAAAAATTTACTGACGCCATCTCGTCGGATATGTTCCAATTGTTGTAACCTCTTTTCTTCGAATGTGACCTACCGAATTAGACTAATCACCGGGTTTGTACTTAAATGAGTAAAACGACGGGTGCCACATGTGGAACAGGATCTGCTCACCCTTTTAGTGTGGTTCTTGTTGCTCAGTCTTTAGTTTTCTATGTTGTGTTTTGCATACTGGTATATCATACATTCATATTAATTCTGACTATTACTTATATTCCTAGTGTTAATTTTGTCTCTGTATTTTGGATTTTGGTTTATAAAAATAAAGATATATCTACAATAAATCTATATATAAATATATTTATAATTGAAGTTTATTTTTTTTCATCGTTCTAATACATTTAAAATACCATATAATTTACATATAGTTGTACACTTAAGCTAATTTAACATTTATCTACATATAAATTCAGTTGGTAAATCTTTCACATATATTCTACATGTTGGTGTTTCTATTCCAATGTAGGCCCTGTCGTTAAAGCGTTATTGTATGACTTATATACATTTGGTATATCTGCTTTTACTATTGTTTGTGACATGTTTTACATATTGAAGGGGGAAAAATGGCCGAAATGATTTGGAAGATTTATCGCGTATAATACATGTATGGTATAATAAAGCAAACGAGAACTTATCGGACATCTTTTAATGAAATTTAATACCAATCTCTATGAATTCAAATAATTTTCAAATAATAAAGAGCTTTCGATCATTAAAAGATTATATTAAAAAGGGAGGATTGAACCTACAAAGGGGACCTAATCCGCGAGCTCAAAGACAGGGACCATCATAGCCAAACACGGAGAAGTGAACCTAAAAAGGGAACCAAATAACAGCGAGTCGAAAGACAGGCATCATCATAGCCAAACACCACTTAACTAAGCAATACACAGAAGACTAAAGATTAAACAATACGTAACGAGCTAGACGAGTTTTTCGAATGACCTTCATAAAATATGGTCGAAAACAAAAGCATGCAAAGCCATATATCTAGGCTTTTTTTTTATATTTTTCGAGGTATATTGAATGTTCATTGTTGCTATTTTTAGAAACTATATATATAAGTGGATATATAAATATTATTGGAAAGTATTTAAACCAAAAGGACCTATATTTTGAACAGCTAAAACCGTCTATTGTCAACTTTGCCTCGAGTCATGCCAAAACCGAAGCACTGACAACTAGGCGGATTGTACTTTTGTGACTTGAATATAACAAAGTTCTGTTTACAAACCAATTTTAATAAATATAAATCATTTTAAACCAGTTAGGCTAAGGATAAACAAAATCTACATATGGCTTGTCGCTAACCGTGAATTACTTAACATCATTTCCTAAAGTATTTTTTAAACAATTCTCCTAGTTCAAATTACCGGTATATGTGCTAGCATTTGCATAAAACATGTCTATATTGTTATGACTTACCTGTGTCATAAGCACATCACTTAGTGTTTTCCGGAGCTTTTTTTACTTTTCTTGTTCTTGTTTGATTTGTTTGATGATTTTTTAGACGACTTTTTGGACGACTTTTTAGATGATTTGTTAGAAGATTTTTTAGATTTCTTCGACTTCTTTGATTTGTTCGACTTCTTTGATTTCTTCGACTTCTTTGATTTGTTCGACTTCTTTGATTTGTTCGACTTCTTTGATTTGTTCGACTTCTTTGAACTAGAACCTTTCTTCTTGGATAAGCTATCTTGCAAGGTTTGGACTTGAGTCATTATCGTCATGATTTCCCCAGGACCCATCTTGGTTCCTAGTTGGTTTGAGCTCGTCAGCGCCGACATTATTCCACCGAGGCCCAGCGGATCCTCCTCCTTCTTTTTCTTCGCAGACGTCACGACTACAAGTAATGTCCATATTGATACAACCAAAATTAGGCTGTTCATTGTAATTTAGCACGTGTGCTTACTGAAAAATGAACGTATTATATGAATTATACAAGTTTTTTTTATTATATTATATAATATTATTTGATACAAGATAAGGCTACCAATTTCCATTCTCAATTTTATTATGAATACGATATTGGCGTTAATAAACAGTTTTATGTTTATTTGCTTATGCCTTTATAATGAAGTTTATCAAAAACGACGAGGTTATTTGAGTCCTTACGAAAGCCCTTTGAAAGTTGGGGCGAGTTTTTTCATGGTTTGGAAAAATAATTGTAGAATAGATTTTTTGCATTCTAATAAGTTATATGGCTATTATGTCCTCTGGACTAATACTTTGTCCATCGTTTCGGTGCGCTTCTTCGATAACAAAGAAGCTAGCTTGAAATTATGATGCGAAATTATCACGATAAATTCCGAATAAATATAATTTCTATTAAATAAAAAAAGCAATTTTTAGATGGTTCATAAGTAATTGAAAATGATTGAATTTTTAAGCTTGCAGACGATATCATATGACACACTTGATACAACAAGATTTTAAAGATATTTCACCAGCCCTAAAATGCTATATTTATTCGTTCACGTGCATCAAAACAGTAACTGCATTATTTTCAACAGATGTAAAAAAAAAAAAAAAAGCACAACTGTAATTGAGCGTGTAAATGCACAGAAAATTTATCAAAAAAGTACCCTAAATGAGGCGATTAAGTAATCAATATACTTACATTTAATCGGAACTTTGTGCTAAGTCAAAGTGTTTTTGCTCGAACCTCGGCGTATTTAGCTAAAAGCTTTCGTAATTTATTCACTGCACGTGAACTTTCATATTAATGATGTTCAATGGTAGTACATGTCAAAAGTGGTAGCATGCTTGCAATATATAATTTTGATTTTTATACCTGTGCATGCACTAACTACAATGATAAGATAATAATAATGATTAATGTTTTGAATTATTCCAAAATGTTCCTGCTCATACCTGTACTTGTTTTTCTTACAATTTAATTAAAATGCCTTCGGCATGTAGCAGTCAGAACTGGTTAATGCACTGTCAAAGCAGTTACTTTCGATATGATATATAGCTCAGAGTTCATGCGGCTAAGACACAATTGATGGTAGGTCTGAAACTCATCGGTAAACAGACGAATACGACTTGCTGGCATCTTTAAGCCGAAATTCACTTCAAAATCCAAAATATCTTTAAAATAATTTAGGAAACTGTAGCAGGAATTCCAATAAGTCTACTAAAATAATTTATTTCTTATACACAGTATGTTTGACTAATGCATATGATTAATATTTTCAAAAGACAGACATGTCCAAAACGTTTTCACATATAACATGACATATGATACTGTTGTTTAACGTCCATTGGCATATATTTAATGCTTGTACAGGACGATAGTTAAAACAGTATGTTGATATCTTGGTGTCTGGGTTTTGTTTTTTTTTGTCGTCGGGTTTCATTCTTATTGATGTATACCCTGTCCCTTTATTCATATTGACAACTTTTAAATTATGATTCTTTCCTTTAAAAAATACCAGTTGAATGATGCCATGTATGCATTGTTTGTCCAAATGAAGTGTTACAAACCTCATTAATTATCTCATTTTACAAATAGTCATGGTAACATGTTTTGTTGAGTTTAAGTAACTTTTAGTAAAAAAAATGAACAGTCCTTGTGAAGATAAATCCAAAGTTGCACTTTGGACGCAACCAAGTTTAAAGTGCTCAGCTTCCTTTTTGAATTGTTATCTTCATCGAGTATTTCATATCATCCTGTCGTTTTGGTTCTCAATGTGAAAATATGTGCCACTTCTTTCTTGAAAACCCTATGTATACTTGTATAAGAAGTACACTAACCTTAACTGGCAACCAGAAAAATTTGTAATATAAACCTCCAGTTTTATGTCACTAACTATTAAATGAGCAAAATGAACACATTTTTTAAAAATGTATATTGCAACTTATTTATAAGTGTTTCTTTCATTTGATTTATATTTTCAATTTAATCACTGTTATCATAACATAAAACAAAAACATTCAGCTTTAATGTAAAAACGTCCGGTCAGAATGGGGACGTTAAATCCGAAACTTCATGTAGAGAGAGTGCAACGCTCTCTGCACGTTAAAAGCCCTTGCAACAACACTTTAGGGATCTGTAGATGGCCTGTTGCAAGGCTAATGTTCTGTCCCTATCCAATTTACCCTCAATTTCCATTGGCACTGCAAGTGTTCCGCCCTTCATCACTGTCGATCATACATGCATTACAATACGAATATCACCTAAAATACTGACTCGGACGTCGCCAGGTAGAAAAAGGTCCGATACAGTCGCCAGCAAGGACATTGTGGCATATAGAATAGCAGGTGCCCAATAACCTCCCGGATATTTTGCATTCAGCTTATCATTCCAATGACAATGATACTAATCTTTGTACATGGCCGTGTACAACTCAGCAAAATGTATTTGGGATTCAATTATTAGCATTTTGAACAGCACTGTATCATTTCTAAATGTAAGACAAAAAACCGCAAACCTTTAACATTTTAATAATTGATTACCAAGTAATTAAGCTAAAGAATCTTACTTCACTACCAGGAGTTATGATTATCTGAATTGTACATTAGCTAATATTATGTACGGAATTACCTTTGTGGGCTGATACATGTATATATCGGGAAAAAAGAAAAAAAAACTTATGTGGGGCTTTAGGTCAGACACCAGCAACAATGCAAATGACATTGTATATCAACATTTCAATAACGACGATCTTCCAATCCTTTCTATGAACATTTTAATATATCACAGAACTTACAAGTCTCAACTCGAAATACCTGTCAGCAAACAAAACGTAAGACTCGATAAGGGAACTGCGATATCTGTGTTTGCAATGACAAAACTGATCGTATAGGTATGTTATCAAGTTCCTCCTACAGCTCGGTGAATGTGATGAATATCTTCAACTCTTCTCCTCGTCGTGCATGTAGATTCATCCATGATCATCATCAAAATACAAGCCTTGGTGATGTTTCTATAAATTACCTTCTACCATCTATACAGACACCGTTAAATGATTAAATCAATCGCATGAAACTTAATTCTCTTTTTTTTCTAAAATTAATTCTTTGTATAAATTGTGTTTGGAAACCCTCTTTTCAAATCCCTTTTCTCAGGGTAATTCTTTGTACAAATATGTTTGGAAACCCTCTTTACAAATCTCTTTTTAATCAATACAAACAGACAACTATCATCTCAGATATTGCAAAACATAGAATGTTTAGACCTTGTTGTATAGAAAACGATGACACGAAGAAGCGAACTTTTAAACCATTCCTTTGCCAGAGAAGGTCTTGATGCTATTTGCTTAGGAACTATCCTTCTAAAGTACCTCACCATCTTAAAATTCAGTCACTTCTATCTCTTATACATGTATCTATACCACATATACACATATTGCAACTATTTATTTTCACTTGAGATTAGAAGGATTTCAATATTGCCGATTAACACTGACAACAATAATCCTCTACGAAATGTGTTGGCAAAAGAAATGATAATTAAAGTTCTGAAGTACTGAACGTCGGATGACTGCAAGTTCTTGTGGATGGTCACAAGCACTTGTCTCAGAAAAAAAATCACATCTCTATACCTGAAAGTGAGGTTAATGTACAGATATAATTTTTTTTTCTTAGACAAGTTCGTGCGTGGATGATAAATAAATGACAGAGAATTCAACCTCACCGTAATACATATGATATTGAAGTGATACAAATCAGTATACTCTGGTTTGTTGTTATATATTATACTAATATTTGTATATTACAGTTACATGTATATATAATTTTCATCCATTTGTATATCATTTTATTCTACTATATTAATAATAGTGCAGTGCAAGTGCATGGTGGACACTCTTCTGTAATAATTCGATTTTTCTAATAGATTGGATTTGAGTAGGCATTCATATTTTCCCGCCAAACTTTCAATCTCCCATGCAGAGTTATCGGTCCCTGAGAGAGACAGCGAGGACCGATAACTCTTCATGGGAGATTGCAACCGTTCTTGAGATATTATTCAGCATGCGTAAACACACATTTTCTGTACGTGTGCATAGATATTAAAGATTTTTTGCTTATATATATATTTCGTACGACAAAACATTTTCATATTATAAATTTATGTTCTAAAAAAAATATTTTTAGGAGTATCCATTGAAAAAATGAATTTATAACAAGCGATAAGGAATGTTATTTTGCACTCGATAATGTCCGCGTATTTATCATGTTTATAGATCGGTTACAATCCCAACAGGTTTCACTATACTTTCCTAGAAACAGCAATTCTAAAATTGCTATATAAACACCAAGCCCTTCTATTGTTAGGTACTTGGGTAAACGTGTGTTGGATTTTTCAAATGTTGGAGAACCGTGAATTAAAACCTTTGATACTTGTTGAATAAACGTGAGATGGATTTTTACATAGGATGACCGTGAGGGCATTCCGGTGTATTGCTGTCGCCTAGATTTCCATTACCGTAACTTTCGTGTTGGGATTGTAACCGTATATGAACGGCTGTTAGGACGTTGACCTAAATCCTGGTCAAGGTAAACCCAGAAAATGGTTTCTGATGCACCAATCAATAAAGTGTTATTCTTTTTACTTAAGAAAAATTCTGATCAGTCATAAGCATATTTCCTTTGGAAATTCAAGCAAAGTCGGAGAATCGGGTATTTCTTCACTCTACTCAACCAAAATTACAAAAGTTGTCCTTACATAAAATGTTAAAGTCCGTTTCTTTGTATGTTGGCGTTTGCTTTTGTTGTAGTTCAGTGTTTCTACCTACTTAAGAAGTGGTATGAATCGGATGTGGATGCTGAAAGGAGTAGGCCCGGTAAGACCCTTTTTTGGCCCCAAAATATAGCGTTTTACAAATTTGTTAAAAATGTAAACTTTTAGCTATTCATTGGAAAGTAGAATACTTTTGTGACATAAATATGGGCTGTTTTTTTACAATACAATGCACATGCATCAGGTACTAGCATAATTAATTCATGCAAATTAACTGAAATAGCATTTGTTAATTTAGACGGTTTTTGTCTAAAATAAAAGTGGCTGCACGTGTGTTCAGTTTTAATATTTAGATATATGTTGTATTTGATGATAATACATAACACAAATAAAGGTTGAGACTGAACACGAATGCGGCCACTAACATTTTAGACAAAAAACATCTGAAAAGTGACGTTTTGGTTATGAAAACATCACTGCTCTTCCCTCATTAGAATACTTTACAAATGGCAGTATATTCCATTGTCATACATACGGTGGCTATAACACCTATTGGAAAGTATAAATGCTTTATTTTTGTCAATGTTTATTTTCACTAATGACTTGATTTATCTCCCCTAGAACAGTTTGGTATAAATTCGTACCAATTTAAACAGTTTGAGTTTACGAACTGCACGTTAGTTAGTTATTCATTGACTGCACATATTGATAGTGAGACACAGTTTGAGACGAAAAGATTAAGTATCTAGTATAATCGTACAAGTAACTTGCTACAGTACTACAGAGCCTATGTCTATATATCAGAATATGTTAGGTAGATGATTGCTACTGCAGTACTATATAGCCCACATTTACTATAAGATTGTTGATGGGACTGTTCTTGATATGTGGTGTCTGCTGAAGTACTGCTTGACATATGTTTATTGTAACGAATTCCCGATCGATAGTTGTTACTACAGTTCTACAGAATCTGTTAACTATCAGAATGTTTTATGTCGATGGTCACTGCTGCATTGCTTTAGGGCTTTTTGAACATAAGCAGGATTAAAAGATAAACGACATAACTG